TAGAAATCACTTCCCCTGAAGGTGCAGGAATAATTGTTTTTAGAACTCATTATTAACTTGTTTGACTTCATGTTTGTCAGATGTCTACAAAAGTACTTAGTCATATTTATTGAGAGCTAAAGGTTTTAGTTAAGCTTTATTGAAAATACAAGTTTTTAGATGTCACCACTGTGGCAAAGAGTAGTTGCTAGGTTTCTTTGATTCTTCAATACTTATATTAACGTTACTTCCTTTGCTGAAGGCATGTGTTTTTTGCAAGTCAGACTTCAAGCAAAATGATTTTATTCTTTCAGCAGATTAGTTTTCGTGGTTAAGTCAATGATTTAATCCTGTCATATGGTATAACAAAATCTTTCATGCATTCTCAGGGGATTTTATTTCAACATCTTTAAAAACATCCAAAAGATGTAATTTAGATACATTTTTGCTTAGAGAGTTGTTGTATAGCAGTTAAAAGATGTATATTATTTTCTTTTGCTTCCAATTCAGTTGCAGTTATTTCCTTTAACAAGGAAGAATGTTCCAACAGCTACGCCCAGCAATCCAAGAGTCAGACCGATTCCACAGAAAACTGCTGGACCAACACTTGGGAGGACAGCATCAACATCTGTTGCATGAAAATGAATAAATATAAAATATCTGGTAAACACATGACTTGGATATTTGATTTTTTATGATATGGGATGAAAAATATTATTCTAACAGAATTTAAGAAATATTAAGAATATTAAATGGCAGTCCTCAAATGTAGCATGTCATAACTTGTTTGAAAATCAAACTCACCCCATGTTTTGGTTTGTGGCTGATCCTTGATGGCTCTATGCTTTACCATGCAACTATAAATGTCTCCTTCAGCAGGTGTGAACTTAAGGGTGGAGAATATGTTAAAGGTGCCATCTATCCGTGGACGATACTGGCTTAAAGTAATGTCCTCTGACACATTAATATTATTCTTAGTCCATGAGACACTGACAGATGGAGGATAGAAGCCAGTCACATGACAGACAAGGGTGTTTTGAACACCCAGCTCTACATCATCTTTTGGATATATAGATGTCTGGGGTGCATCTACAAAAGATATACGTTTTCATTGGGAAATTATTCATTTATTCATTACACTGTAAACCTAAATAGCCAACTTTACTAGAAAATTGCTTGAAAACCCATTGCATTTAGTAATCAAAGTTTGTACATTAGGTGAAACTAAACAGTCCAAGCTGAATACTATTAAACGGTGCCAAAAAATATAGATATTTCGTAAATTAATAAATAATGCTACCCCAACATTGATGAATTTGTGCATCATTTTGTGTTTTAGATGTATTATGGTAGGGGAAGTGCATCTGAATAAGTTATGGTTCTGCTCAGTAAACTCAAATGGCCAACTTTACTGAAAATCAGCCTGGAAACTTGTTGCCTTAAACAACTTAAGTTTAACACAGAGTGAAACTAAGGGTGTACTCACACTAGGCATGGTTGTCTTGAAACGTGCCGAGGCATGATTGTCCACCCCCTCTCCCTCTCGGCCTGCACTCACACTGTTATTTTACCTTTATCTACCTCCGTACAATGGAGATTGCTTTAGTTATAATGTTTTGTATTATTTTAAGTTGTTTGATATGCAGTGACACAGTTAAATCTTTTGCTGAACAGATCCACCACTTTTGACACTCATAGTGTATGGATGTTTAGTTTCACTTTGTGGAAAAAATGTATTGGTTTGTGGTAAACCTTTAAATGGTTTAAGGCCATGTATTTTCATGCAATTGTCTAGAAAAGTCAATAGTGTACTTGTATGAATTAGTAAAATGGTATAATTATTGAAGCCTTTAATTCAAACAAAGTTAAGTGTAAAGTAAGGGTTAGCATAAATCTTACCCATTTCTGGTGGTGGGCTCTTGAATCCTTTAATCCTTAAGGCTAAGTTACTTTTGCAGACTGCCATTTCACCCTCGCTGCCTTCATAAAATCCAGGGAATGTCATTGGGTCTCCAAAATCAGGTAATGTTTCTACTCCCTTCTTTTGATTAAAGTCAGCATGCCACAATTCCTCTTCGTCCATTCCATACGTGTCTTCTTTTTCTGTATCAGAGCATCCACGAATGGCAAAATCTTCATGCACAACTGAAATAGATTGAGCATCACATTTTAAACATAAAATAGCCACATTGTACTGGCAACTGCTTTTCACAAAAGTATTATTCTATGGAATATTTGAAATATTGGTGTATTGTTGTTTGTTATATTTGAAAGCTGACAAAGCTCCAATAATAAATAAAAAATAATAATAATAATAGCTGTGCCTGTTTTACACAAAATAATGATGCACCACATAACCATACTGAACATTTTGTGTACCTGCATATTGTGTTTTTTTTTATTATAGTATTACTTTATTGTCTATATTCATTTATTACTTAATTATCTCATTACCTTAATTACTACTTCTGTCTTCTAGAAGCTGCTTTTATAATTGAATAAACTGTATTTAAAAAAAATACATAAATAAATAAATAAATAAAAACTTGTTGAAAATTCAGTGCTGAAGTTTCAATCTTTTAACATTTGTTGAATCAATGGCTATTCAGTGAAGGTCTGCTGGCTAGGAATTTTTTGCTCTTTATTTTCTGAAAGAAGAGTTTACAAACCCTGCTGTATTTTCTTGTAATTTGTTAAAACGAAGGTACCAAGTGGGAGGACTTCAACACTATTAGATAGCGTACAATATTCAAGAAATAGAATCAAGGGGGAGAATGAGAAAGTGGAAATGTCGTTGAAATATTTTTTGCTATTCCTAGTCCTATTCATTTTTTTGCAGGTTGGGATGTCTGCTGTTTTAAGAGTGCCAATTGTACATTATTGCACATGCTCACAACCTTTCATTTACATTTATCAATCCGACCAGTCACATTATTTTAACATGTGTAAAGCAGAATAACACACTAGTTTAGTTAAAAGGAACATAAATGGGTTCAACTGATCTGGGGTCATGCCCACTTTACTGATTACAGCTTTTGATAACATATAAAGTAGATATATATACAGTTAAAGTCAGAACATTATTAGACATTGTATTTATTTGTCCCCAATTTCTGTTTAACGGGGAGAAGATTTTTTAACACATTTCTAAAAACGTAATTATTTTATCTTTGCCATGATGACTAAATAACATTTGACTTCATATTAGGGCTAATAATTCTGACTTCATCTGTATATATATATATATATTAAATCAATAATTGTTTTCTGTAAACAAGATAATGTCGAAAAGATTATTACATGTGTAATGATGACTGCATTTCATTACTGTAACTTTTTTTAACAAATTTAAAAAAATTATTTTGCATTGCAATGTCAGTGCTGTTGAAAGTGAGTGTATTAAATTAAGAAATGGCCATTGCATTGTGTATACAAAGTCAAGTCAAGTCAAGCCTATTCTAATTACCTAGATTTATACAGATTTTTAAAAGTTACTTGTCGAAAAACAGTACCAAAATATTTTAACCAAATCTTTTTATTACTTTACACTTTAATTTTATGATTGAATGATTGTATGAAAGGAAACATTCACAACCATTTTAAAAGCATAACAGCAACAGCTTTGAATCAACAATTAACAGTATTTCACAAATTAGTGAACGTAAACGTAAAAAAAAAAAAAAACAATAATAATTTTATGAATAGTTACAATAATAATAAATGTACTTACCTTTAGCACCAGCTGAGAGAATAATAGTTAGGACAAGAGTGGTTATGTATAGCTCCATCTTGTTAAATGAGTGTCAAACAAACATCAGAGAAATGTGTTTCTAAAGTGAAAAAAAAAAAATGATATTATTATCACCTGTTACGGCATTTGCATCATCCACTGAGAGTTTGACACACATCTGTGACACGGCTGTATCCAAGCAGAATGTCAGTTGTTCCTCTTTCATCTCTGAAAGCTTATAGTCACTATAACAAATTGTTGTGTGCATTACATAACTTTTACAAAATTCTCAAAAATTATAATATGTTGTGTTTTGCAAATATTAGAAGGTGAATGAACCAAGTCAAACAAAAAGGTCATATGTGCAATGGCATATGGCATGGCCAACATTGAATGGGGATTTGTTGATGCTGTGTAGCACAAAGATTAAAAACATTATTTAGAATGTAAGTAATTAATTTGAACTTTCATATTACCATTTTCTGTCTGGTCTTGTTGGTGATGTTAAGTATATGGTATTGATTTTCACTGTTTATTTACACTCTCACTATTATTCTGTTCTTATTAGACTGCAAGGCCTTATAAGAAGGGGTCTTAAATTATTCAGAACTATGTTACAGTTTCCTATAGCAAAAAAAAAAAAAAACTTTTACACTCTGCTGACTAAAACATGAATGGAAAGTTTTTAGCAAAGATCCTTCAAGTTTCATCCGCTCAGCAATAAACACTTGGAGGTCACTGTGTACCTATTCTTCAGGTATATAAACATTTTTACCAAAATATGTGTAATATTTTATAAACAAGGGCTGTGTATGTATTAAAAAAGTAAAACACAAATATTGCTCAAATGCTTTATAAACAAATTTAGTTAGTAATAATCCTGTTTGTGGAAGGATTACTGTTAAATCATCCTCTGCTGTGATCTTGAAAGATTTGATGTGTTTTATTTTTATAGATTTCATACTTTGAACAGCTGAACACTTGAATGAATTGTGCAAAAGTAATTCATTAAAAGTCACTGTTTAATATGCAGTTGTAGTTTCTAGTTGATATGTGATTAAAGTCACTAAATGGTTGTTTTTGCTGTATTTATTTATTTATTTATTTAAGTAATATTTTATATAGTTATACCATTGTAGTTATTATTATAGGAATATAGTTACATGTTATAGAAGAGCAGGATATACTATAAAAGCAGGAAACTACTTAGCAACACTTGACACTTGTATGTGTAGTCACTGATTGGCCAATCAAAAATCTGTATTCGTAAACAAAAAGCACTAACACTATTCTACTGGCATTTAGTGTGAGCGAAAATGTTGCCGCTAAAGTACTTTACATGTCTCATGTTGACAGTGTCTTTATTTACTGGAGCAGAAAGTGGTAAGTAAAATTAGAGGTAGTGAGATGATATAATTAAAGATAAGGTATAATATTATTTGAATCATACTACTGCAACTTTTATTAATGAGCCTGTGATCAGGAGATTAATATTGTGCCTAAAAATGTAAAAACTGAAAAAATAAATACTGCAATTTGTTTCTGCATTATATTTCTTCTGTTCATTTCATGACATATTGATCTGACAAGTTTGTTCTACGTCTTTCTTCTTTTTCAGCTAATGTGTATTACACATACCGTTGGTGCAGATGCATCTACAGCTCCCCTGATCTCAGTGATATGGTGTATATTGATAGCAAGTATTTCAATAAATATCTGTTCGCACAGTTCAACAGTACTCTTGGGAGATATGTGGGGTTTAGCGAGTATGGAATAAGAAATGCAGAGTACTGGAACAATGGAACCTTTGTGGAGCAAGAGAGAAACGAAGTGGAGAGATTCTGCAAACATAATGCTCAAATCAGGGACTCAGCTGTCATTAGCAAAGCAGGTAAGCGGCTGTATAATAATTTCCTATATTTACCATTACACCTGTAACTTTTGTTTTTTAGCTTTTATATTATTGTCATGTTCATTAAGTAAAATTATTTAAATGTTTACAATTTGTCATGAACTGTAAGCATTAAATTGACACAAATTAATTAGTGAAGCCAAAGGTTAAGCTCAGCTCAGTGACACGGGCCGGTGGCAGGCATCCAGCCGTGCTGATGTGCAGCGCATATGACTTTTATCCTCCACACATCAAAATATCCTGGCTGAGAGATGGTCAAGTGGTGACCTCAGATGTGACCTCCACTGAGGAGATGGCTGATGGAGACTGGTATTACCAGATCCACTCTGAGCTGGAGTACAGTCCGAAATCTGGAGAAAAGATCTCTTGTGCAGTGGAGCATGCCAGCTCAACTAAGCCCATCATCTATGACTGGGGTAAGATTAAATAATGTTATCATGTTAGAATTACTTGCAAAGTCCTCTTACACTCTCACATACAGCTATTAAATATGGTAATAATGCAAAATGATGTGTGCATCCCACAGATCCATCTTTTTCCGAGTCTGAGAAAAACAAACTTGTCATTGGAGCCTCTGGTCTTGTGCTGGGAATCGTCTTAGCAGCTGCTGGGCTAATTTACTACAAGAAGAAATCAACAGGTCAGTGCAAATAAAAATAAACAAATCTAGAAAGACATTAATCTGGGTACGATCATTAAACAATTAAATAATTTGTCTATTGTTTATTTACTTTGACAGGGAGGATCCTGGTACCTCACTAGTAATATTAGTGAATTGTTAACATGTTTCATTACATTTTAATAATTCAGTCTATGCTCAGCTGTCAAAGTTTTTTCTTATACTGACTCCAAGCAACTCATTCCTGTAGAATTTTCATAATTTGTAGGGTTTCTATTGATGTTTGTTTTTTAAAATATAAAATAAAACAATAACAACTGCACTATTGCATCAAATCTGATACATGTTTTTTTATGAATATATGAAGAATAACATTATATTTGAGCATCTTATACAATTTGATGTAAATTATATCTGAAAACAGAAATAAAATACTGATCTTATTGAGTTATCTTGTATTTGTACACAACATTGAGGAGCTAAGAGGTTAATGTTGAAATGAAACATAAGATTCAAGAATTGTATTATTATATGTTACATAAAGTATACAACATCCTTGTTTTGTGTTTTACTCTTTATTCTTTATCTGAAATTGCTTAATGATTTAATTTGATTAAATTTCTGTTGATGAAGCCGTCACCTCTGTCCCTTGAAGGCCTCAATTAAAGCTTTTATTTTTTTATTACCTCCATAATGCAAGAACATTTTCTTGATTTTCTTCTTGTACACAATTCAGGGCTGCAGGTGATTATAAATCAACAAAGGTGATTAATTGAAATCCTTAATCCTTTACTTGTTAAAATAATTTGACACAAGTAGCAAATAAACAACAAAAACATGCTAAATTATATTTTTAACATAATTCATGACAGCAATTAAGTTAGCTTTTGATTGAATCATTATGATTTAATAACACTGGCATTTTATTTTATTATTTTTTTATAATGTAAAAAAGATAACAGAGTTGACATGATGAAATTATTTGCATTTAAATGTGCCATATAGTGCATTAATTCAATAAGTTAAACTTCTCTGATATTTTGTGTTTTTCATCAGTGATTCTGCTTGTTATCAGCAGGTGTTCGTCATCAATTGTCAATAGCACTTAATTAATCACCACATGCCAAGTTCTTGAATGTATACAATTGAAAGGGGGTGAAAACATAAACTCTGACTGTAAAAACTGACTCTTGATTCAAAGATAATTCAACGAAGGTTTTATTTCTTGGGTGTGAGTTGGTCTCTAACAATTAGCCTCAGAAGGAGGGAAATTCTCTCGTACAAAAACACACTGTAAATAAAAAAAAAGTCTGTGATTTTAACAGTAGTCCACTAGACAGAGTGAATGAACACAAATGACTGAATTCAGACACTGAGGAACACCTACTGCTAACAACCACAATCACTGAAGCAATAAGAAATTGAAAAAAATAAATAAAAATCAACAGCCTAACACCAAACCAACACTGTAAACGATTTCTTGTTAAATTAACAGTAAGTTACTGGCAACAATTATCCAGTAGCTGCTGTATTTCAAAAAACAGTAACATTACTGTAATACTAATTACTTTAGTATTACATTTACTGTAAAATGTAATACATCATTTTACTGTTTTCTTTTTTTACTGTAACACCAATTACAGTAGTGATACACATACTGCAAAACTGAAAACAGTATTTTACTGTAAATTTTTACCATGCAGAACTACGGTATCTTACGTTACTTTCATTATTACTGTATAGTATTTTACAGTTATTAAATGTTATTTTATTGTATTTAATAGTGCTACTTTATAATGAGCAAAAAAAATTCAAAAATTGCACAAATGTTATTTTAAAGAGCCCATATTATGGGTTTTTGAAAATTCCCCTCCATGTAGTGTGTAACGCAGCTCTAAGTGAAGTGAAGTATCCAGCTAAGGCTTAAATCTGTAAGAATACAGTGTTTAAAACGGTTGATTCATCTATAAAAGAGTCGACTCATAGTGCTTCAAACGAGTCGCCTTGATACCGAGTCATTAGGTGTTTCGCCATGACGTACGAACGAAACCAAGTTATTCACGTGCACGCGCAAACCCGGGAGATTTCAAACCTGAGGCCCCGCCCTCTGACGCAGAAACCCAGACACACACACACCCACAAACACACGCACCCACAAACACACGCACACAAACATGCCGGTGTTACGGTTTAACTGGTGACCGTGTTAACTGGTGTCCCTTTCCAGATGTAAGCTATTCACGTTTGCAGATTGGCAGATTCGTCACTTTTTCACAGCAACAAAACATGTCCATACCAAATAAAGATTCTTATTAGTTGGTGTCAGTGTCATTGTGTGCATTATTGATTTAATATCTGTGTAGCAGAACAGTATATAACCAAAATAAATAAAAAAAAATAATTAGAATTTACATGTCTTCAACAGGATTCGAACCCGTGTAGTGAAAAGGTTTAGCACACGTATCAATCAACTTATCTATCTGAGCTACTCAGAACTTCAAACGAAGTGGTCTGTTTTAATATGTTTGTCAATTAAAACATGCCTTGCTGTGGTTGTGGACCCGTGTTAACATGTTTCCATCGATGTTAACATGTTTACATGTTGTTTAGTTACATGTACTCGCGTTAACGTGTTTTTACAAACTCTCCCGCTGATAGAATAGCTCTCTGTGACTAAACGATGCTTCATCAGTCGCTCAAACCATGTTTTTTCTTAGTTCTAGACTCATGTCTACCTGTGCCTTTGGAGTCGTGTTAACTCGTGACCCATGCTCATGTATTGTAAATAAAGATTTTATCCAAAAAATGAATACAATGACGATATTATTATGCAACATATTATGTCTAATATATATAATATATATTAAATATATAATATTATGCAACAAAATATTAATTGAAAATCGCAACATTTCAATGTATGATCTTGGTCACATCTGTATCAAGATACTTATGAACATGAACATGATTTGGCTACATACGATAAAATTACTAAAAGCTCCTAAGGCTACATCATTGCTTGATAGCTCAATTAGATAGCACGTATGTTCCTTTCATGCGTCTCTTTTGTTAGTAGGTTCGAATACACATACGAGTTTTGTTTATGTAGCCTGATTTTTTTAATTCTCTTTAAAATAAAATGGGGGGGACTGCGATTTATAACGTATGCTTATTTAGCGGAACATCGTAGTCATTTAGAGCTATTCTGAGGAAATATCAGCTCGTGTAACTTTGTAGACACAGACTAACAAGAGTCAATGGGACTATTATATTCTGATTGCATAATATTCTAATATTCTGTTGCATAATATTATATATGAAATATATATTATATATATTAGACATAATATGTTGCATAATAATATCGTCATTGTATTAATTTTTTGGATAAAATCTTTATTTACGTTACATGTATGAGCATGGGTCACGAGTTAACACGACTCCAAAGGCACAGGTAGACATGAGTCTAGAACTAAGAAAAAACATGGTTTGAGCAACTGATGAAGCATCATTTAGTCACAGAGAGCTATTTTATCAGCGGGAGAGTTTGTAGAAACACCTTAACGCGAGTACATGTAACTAAACAGCATGTAAACATGTTACATCGATGGAAACATGTTAACATGGGTCCACAACCACAGCAAGGCATGTTAACTGACAAAGATATTAAAACAGACCACTTAATTTGTAGTTCCGAGTAAGTTAGCTCAGTTAGATAAGTTGATTGATACGTGTGCTAAACTTTTTCACTACACGGGTTCGAATCCTGTTGAAGACATGTAAATTCTAATTATTTTTTTAATTTATTTTGGATATATACTGTTCTGCTACACAGATATTAAATCAATAATGCACACAATGACACTGACACCAACTAATAAGAATCTTTATTTGGTATGGACATGTTTTGTTGCTGTGAAAAAGTGACGAATCTGCCAATCTGCAAACGTGAATAGCTTACATCTGGAAAGGGACACCAGTTAACACGGTCACTAGTTAAACCGTCACACCGGTCGATTGAAGTCACACTGCAGATGGATATATTGAGTCTCTACCCAAAGATGAAACCTCAGCATAATAACCAAGCAGTTGGAAACTACTGGAAACTTCTGGAAGCTACATGCGACAAAGAATACTTCATCAGCGTTTGTTAAAGGAAGGATCAGTAAAGAGTAACTTACTGATGGACGTCAGGATGGGTTTCTTCCTACCTTTCTTAAGTGTAAGTACATGAGATTAAAGTTTTTGCTTTGTTTACTCTAGCTTGCAAATGTATTTAGTTTTGATTTGTTACTTGTAACCGAGTGTACTGTATAAGGTTAACTGGCTATATTCTCCTATCGCGTGCAAATTCACATTAAAAACGTGACGCGTGCTGCTTTGTTTATGAGCTCCGTGGTAGAGTTCTGCATTCCCGCGGCTGTCCCCGCGAGATTTCTGCGGCGCGGGAATAAATTTCAGATTAAATCGCGGGAGAGGTCGGTAACGGGTTTAATTTGGGACGGGAGCGGGCTGTTTAGCAATATCACGGATATTGCTATGCGAATGAGAAAGAGAGAGTCTACTTGGTGTTGTGTGTGAGTGCTGGTGCTGTCGCGTATGAGAGAGAGAGAGAGAGAGAGAGCGAGCTTTGTGTGCTTGGTGCTGTGTGTGTGTTTATACAGACAGCTTGGCTGTCTGGACTGTATAGCTGGGTAATTTTTTGTTGTGTTCTCCCCCGCTCTTGCGGGATCGGGCGCGGCGGGCAGAAAACGGGGCGGATTCTCAGGCTAAAACCTGGCGGGTGCGGGTGGAAGCGGGAGCGTTGTCGTCCGGAGGTGTGTGTGTGTTTTTGTGTGTGTGTGGCAGTTAAAATCCACGCCTACACTATCTAGCGTGTATGAACTGTGATTACTTTTTATATTGCTGATTAGCTATTGGGCATTTCATTCTCTGACTGAAGGCAGTCGACCAATCACGACTGACTGTCATCGGTCCAATCAGCGCAGATTAGCTTCGCGCTAAGGAGGGGTTTGGGAACAAATGAATCACTGGACGATTCATACGGGAGTCGCTGGGATAATTAGGTAAAAATAAATGCAGATTATAAGACCATAAAAGTGTTTTTTTTTTTACCTTGCATGCATACTAGACTGTTGTTGGAGACCCTTACACCCAAGATATGACCCTATTTCATGTATAATATGGGCTCTTTAACTGTTGTTTTAACGTTTTAATTTTAACTGTAAATACAAGAAAAATAAAGAAACTGAAACTTTAACTTCACAAAAAAAGTTTACTGTGTAAACCTTACTGAAACAGTAGCAATTATTCAATATAACAAAGCAACAGAACACTAATGAACAATTGATCATTAAAACCAGTCAACAATTAATGCATCAAAAAGTATTACAATTTTAAAAACAGATGAAAATACTGCTACAAGACACGAAATGATGAAGGCCAAATGATGTTGTGGAAAAGGGACAGTGAAAAAGGGCAGGAGCACTTCTGATGATCCTGCAAAAATGACAAGCAAAATCAATCACTGGAGTAAAAACTTAATCATGCCTCAAAT